TTCTACTGTTTTCCCAGACCAGAGCAGAGAGCTGAATCGGAAGTGGAGCAGCCAGGACTCAAACAAGCATACATATGGGATGCCTGTGCTACAGGCCAGGTCTTTAACCCTCTGTGCCACAGTGCAGGGCTCTATTCTATTTCATTTTCATGAGGACACAGAAACATATAGTGGGAAATATTTGCAACCCTCAGTTTGTTAGAATGAGACATAGGTCTCTAGTGCCTATACCTCCCTAAAGGTATGACCAAGGCATGCTCACAAGGGTCTCAGAAATCACTTCCTACTCTACCTAAACCCTACTTACTGCCATTTTTCTAATATGCAGTAGTCCTAGGGATACTTGGTTTGGCTATTTACATGAAAATCCTGATGTGAACTGATTATTTTTATGCCTAAATATTCATAGAATTAACTATATTCAAAAGAATAAACTTTTTAATAATTTAAAAAATAAAATTCTTGGGCCAGAGCAGTAGCAGGTTAAGAGCCTCTACTTGCAGCCGGCATCCCAAACGGGTGCTAGTTCATGTCCTGGCTGCCCATCTTCTGATCCAGCTCTCTGCTACAGCCTGGGAAAGCAGAAGATGGTCCAAGTGCTTGGGCCCTTGCACCCACGTGGGAGACTCAGAATAAGCTCCTGGCTTTGGACTGGCATAGCTTCTGCCATTGTGGCCAATTTTTGGAGTGAACCAGTGATTGAAGACCTTTCTCTCTGTCTCTCCTCTCTGTCTGTAACTCTACCTCTCAAATAAATAAATAAAATCTTAAAAACAAATACACAATAAAAGAATAATCCCAGTTTGTTTCTTTAAAAACACTTTGGTATATGACAAACTTCAAAAAATTCTCAAGATCTGGCATTAGGCCTGGCAGTTAAAACTCCAGTTGGGTTGTCTGCACCTAACAACAAAGTGCCTGGGTGTGAGTTCTGAGTACACTCTTGATTCCTGTTTCCCTAGTAATGCGTACACTGGAAAGCAGCAGGCTATGGCTCATGCAGTTGGTCCCTGTCACTCAACTAAAACACTTGGGTTGAGTTTTCAGCTCCTAGCTTCAGTCCCCCTGCTGCTGTAGGCATTTTAGAAGTGAACCAGTAGATGAAAGCACTTTCTCTCATAAATAAACAAACAATTTCTGTTTGAAGTTTGTAGAGGGGCAGGCATTTGGCCTATCAGTTAAGCCACCAGTCTGGACACCCGTATTCCATATGTAACTGCCTGGGTTTGATTCCCAGCTCCAGTTCCTGATTCTAGCTTCCTGCTGATGCAGAGCCTGCAAGACAGGGGCGATAATTCAAGTGACTGTGTTCCTCCCATCAGGAGGAGGAAAGGATTTCAGATATACATATGAGACCGTTAGAAAGGACCATAGTGTGTCATCAGGCAGAAGACAGTGGCAGGACAGCATGCCTCAGACAAAAAAACCTAAATGATGAAACCCCTGTAGTTGAAAAACCTGCATTCTGAACTCAACAAAGTTGCTGAATGACGTAGGGATGGCCACCTGTGTGACAACAGTTAACATCACACATGAACATTGCTGCCATCATCAAAGAAAATTCCTGCAAAAGGCAGCAAATCCATATAAGGCTAGGAAATTTAGAAACCTGGACAAGTATCAACGCAAAGGAAACAGAGGGAGAGTATTTTATAATGTTAAAAAAAGGGATTCAAAATAATTAAAACCTATTACATAAACAAAAAAAATTAATATATGAAAAGGATTGGGGTGGGTATTGGGGTGCAGGGGGTGAAACTGCTGCTTATCATGCCCCTATGGGTTTGAGTCGTTGCTACTCTGCTTCCAATCCAGTTTCCTGTTAATGCACTTGGGTAGGCAGTGGATCACCCAAAGAATTGAGCTCCTGCCACCCACATAGACCCAGATGCAGTTCTGGGCTCCAGTCTTTAGGTTAGTCCAGCCCTTGCTATTAAGGGAAATCTGTCTATCTCTCACTCACTGTCATTCAGTCTCTTAAATAAATAAAACCTTAAAAAATACAGGAGCCAACACTGTGGCACAGCAGGTAAGGTTGCCATCTGTAGTGCCGGCATCCAACATGGGCACCGATTCGAATCCCAGCTGCTCTACTTCCAATCCAGCTCTCTGATGTGGCTGAGAAAGCAGCAGAAGATGTCCCAAGTCCTTGGGCCCCTGTACCCTCATGGGAGACCTGGAAGAAGCTCCTGGCTTCAGATCAGCTCAGCTCCAGCCACTGCAGCCATTTGAGGAGTGAAACAGCAGATGGAAGACTTCCCTCTACTTCTGCCTCTGCCTCTCTATAACTCTGCCTTTCAAACAAATAAATAAATCTTAAATATCTATATTATATATAGATACACACACAGAGAGACACAAACACACACACACACACAATACATGGGAGCCGGCAGTGTGGTGTAGTGGGTTAAGCCATTTCTTTTTTTTTTTTTTTTTTTTTTTTTTTTTGACAGGCAGAGTGGACAGTGAGAGAGAGAGACAGAGAGAGACAGAGAGAAAGGTCTTCCTTTTTGCCGTTGGTTCACCCTCCAATGGCCGCTGCGTTGCGGCCGGCGCATCACGCTGATCCGAAGGCAGGAGCCAGGTACTTATCCTGGTCTCCCATGGGGTGCAGAGCCCAAGCACTTGGGCCATCCTCCACTGCACTCCCTGGCCACAGCAGAGAGCTGGCCTGGAAGAGGGGCAACTGGGACAGAATCTGGCGCCCCGACCAGGACTAGAACCCGGGGTGCCGGCGCCACAAGGCGGAGGATTAGCCTATTAAGCTGCAGCACCGGCCAAGCCATTTCTGATCTAGCTCCATGCTAATGGTCTGGGAAAGCAGCTGAAGATGGCCCAAGTGTTCAGGCCCCTGCCACCAACATGGGAGACCTGGAAGAATCTCCTGGCTTCAGCCTGGTCCAGTGATGGCTGTTGCAGCCACCTGGGGAGTGAACCAGCAGAGAGGAAAGATCTCTGTCTCTCTTTCTCTGTCCCTGTAACTCTGCCTTTCAACTAAATGATCTTTTTTAAAAACAAACAAACAAACAAAGGTACTGTCTTCTCAAACTCTTCAGCAATTTCGGACAGAAAGGAACATAACCATCTCTCACACATAATAATGATGGTTATAATTTATTGAGAATTTGGAGAGGTCAGGCATTTTTAAATACATCAAGTCTAAGCATATGATATCCACATTACTACTCCCATTCGACAGATGAGAATCGCTCGAGGGAGATACACTTCCTAGGGACATACAGAGCTTCCTAACAGCACAGTCAGCGTGACAACTAAGCTTGCCTGTCTCCATGTCCATGGCTCTCATTTACCCCCATTATTCTACAGATCGGGATAGGCTTCCTCAAATGCAAACTTCAGAAAAAAAATCAATAAGAATACATCGAATCCTGTCTTGTATCTTTTTTCTTTAAGTGAAGAGTTAATGTCAGATACCTTTAATTAAATTCATGACAACTGGACACAATTCTTAAACCCAACTGACCTCCTCCCAAACTGAAATGTGATTACACCTTAAAAGTGAAAATGTAGGAATAAACATAACCTGTTCACTGGATGAAATATTTTTTAGAAAATATGCTAAGATAAATTAATTCTGTATTTAGTATAAAGTCCTGAAATAATATTTTTTTTAACTTTTATTTAATGAATATAGATTTCCAAAGTACAGCTTATGGATTACATTGGCTTCCCCCCCCCAATGACTTCCTTCCCACCCACAACCCTCCCCTTTCCTGCTCTCTCTCCCCTTCCATTCATATCAAGATTCATTTTCAATTTTCTATATATACAGAAGATCAGTTTAGTATACATTAAGTAAAGATTTCAACAGTTCGCACCCACATAGAAACACAAAGTGAAAAATAATGTTTGAGTACTCGTTATAGCATTAAATCTCAATGTACAGCACATTAAGGACAGAGATCCTACATGAGGAGTAAGTGCACAGTGACTCCTGTTTATGGCATCAGTAATCTCCCTATGCACCAGTCATGAGTTTCTAAGTCTATGGAAGCCTTTTGAGTTCACCGACTCTTATCTTATTTAGACAAGGTCATAGTCAAAGTGGAAGTTCTCTCCTCCCTTCAGAGAAAGGTACCTCCTTCTTTGAAGACCTGTTCTTTCCACTGGGATCTCACTCACAGAGATCTTTCATTTAGGGTTTTTTTTTTTTTTTTTTTTTTTTGCCAGAGTGTCTTGGCTTTCCATGCCTGAAATACTCTCATGGGCTTTTCAGCCAGATCCGAATGCCTTTAGGGCTGATTCTGAGGCCAGAGTGCTGTTTAGGACATCCACCATTCTATGAGTCTGCTGTGTATCTCGCTTCCCATGTTGGATCACTCTCCCCTTTATTTATTCTATCAGTTAGTATTAGCAGGCACTAGACTTGTTTGTGTGATCCCTTTGACTCTTAGTCCTTTCATTATGATCAATTGTGAACAGAAATTTATTACTTGGACTAGTGAGATGGCATTGGTACATGCCACCTTGATGGGATTGAATTGGAATCCCCTGGTATGTTTCTAACTCTACCATTTGGGGCAAGTCAACTTGAGCATGTCCCAAATTGTACATCTCTTCCCACTCTTATTCCCACTCTTATTGAAATAATATTTTAATCAGTAATTATTACATAGTATTTTAAGAAAATGTCTGCTTGAAACAGTGATATTAATTGACTCCTTACTGACTCAAATTTCAAATTACTAAACCAAATATACTACTATAAAAACCACTGACTCTTCATAAGGTTCAAAGTAACTTTCAAGACTACTACAAAAAGACCTTTAGTTCCAGCCTCACATTACCATTCCCTTCATTTACACACAGAAATAACACTAAAAGCACGCAGTCAACAGATTCTTTCAGCAAAGTGCAACTCTGAGATAATAAAGACTTAGCACTTTTGAACCTTCACGTCAAAGGGTCACATTTTTTCCTGAACCAATAGAGTATACTAATTACAACCACTGATTTTTCTGGAGGGGTGGTGTATTGAGAACTGACTTTTAACTTGATACTTACAGTTATCTTCCACATCTTTTTTACTGTCCTCTTCTGCAGGGAACACTTGGTTTATGAGAGCCAAAAATGTCTAACAAACAAAACAAAACTCATTAAAGTTGAGACTTATACATAATAAAAAAAATGAAAGCACTTAACTGGTTGCATGCATTATAACATAATAGCAACAGCGTGTTCTTTATTACAATTTAACACAAGTCCTACTATTTAACAAATCATTAACCCAAAAATAGGGCAATAGGTTTACTCAAAACATTTTCTACTATTACCATGGACATGAAATCAAAAATTAAAATGAGTAAATAAACATCCCAGGCTCTTACAGCTACAGTAGGACAAAACAAGAAGCATATTAAGCTTACATAGATATACTATTAATAATCATTTTAAAAATAAAAATTTTAAAGTTTATATATGCAGGTTGAGTATCCCTAAACCAAAAACTCAAAATCTGAAATGTTTCATCATGTTAGGCACACAGGTCTGTCTCTCACAGAAACACACACACGGAGAGGTGTGAGAGGCAGCGGTGCCATGACAGGAGTTGCTGGAATGAAGTTAAAAGCAGCCTGAAAGGCACCGATGTAGCTGGGTAGTATGTTAAGCCTCTGCCTGCAGCACCAGCATCCCATGTGAGTGCCAGCGCCAGTTCATGTCCCGGCTGTTCCTCTTCCAATCCAGCTCTCTGCTTTGGCCTGGGAAGGCAGTAGAAGATGGCCCACTTGGGCCCCGGTGCCCACGTCGGAGACCTGGAAGAAGCTCCTGGCTCATGGCTTCACACAGGCCCAGCTCCTGTTGTGGCTATTTGGGAAGTGAACCAACAGATGGAAGACCTTTCTGTCTGTCTCTATCTTGGTCAAACTCTACCTCTCAAATAAATAAATAAAAGAGCAGCCTGAAAGACCAGGAATGCATGCCAAAAGAAGGGTTCTGTCCCTCATTCTTCATTCTCCAAACTAACCAGCCTGCTCTTCCCCCTCCCCTCTAAGAGAAAATTTGTTTAATGAAAACAATTTTGTTCTCTTAGAGGGAGGAGGTTTTCCTTCCATCAAAAGAAGCTCACATAACAAAGCACACACTGATCACCCAACATTAAATACCTACCGCACATCAAACACAGTGTACCAAGCTCCAAAGAGAGGACAAATAAAAGAGCCCCTGTGCTTGAGATTACAGTCTGGCAGAGATGAGGAGACAAATGTAAACAATCATCTTCAATAAAGATTACAGGAGAGCCAAGAATGCATACCACTCCTCAAGGGAAAAAAGTAATTAATGGTCAATTCCACTGCAGGGTGGGAGGGAGAGATCAGACATCCCTGGAAAGACTTCTTAAAAAAGGTGACCTCAATTACTGTTTTGAAAGGTAAATCAGTACTTGCTAAGCAAAGGGCTGTGGGGTGTGGCACCCCAGGCAAGAGCACTGTCAGGGACAGAAAGCACCTCTCACCACACTCACGACGAGGACAGAACACTTGTGGAAGGGGTGGAGGGAAGAGGAGAAACAGGCACAGAAGAATAAGTGTGTGGCGTAAAGTATGAGTGGGAGACAGCTTCTGGAGAAAATTTAAGATCACCAAAGTACATAGGGAAAAGAAATACAGACCCTCAGACGCCATATATTATGAGCTTTAGTCTGAAGAGGGACGAGACAGTATTTTCCACAGAATTAAAAATATATTGGAACACACAGAAGGGATGTGTTGGGAATGTTTCATTTGACCTACTGTTTTGTTTCAAAATACACACTAATGCAAACAGACACAACACATACATGTTGGCATAAAAAGTTTCTCTTTTTTTTAAGACTTATTTATGTATTTGAAAGGCAGAGTTACAGAGAGGCAGAGGCAGAGAGAGAGGTCTTCCATCTGCTGGTCACTCCCCAGATGGCTGCAACAGCCGGAGTTATACTGATCCAAAGCCAGGAGCCAAGGACTTGTTCCAGGTCTCCCACACAGGTGCAGGGGCCCAAGGACTTGGGTCATCTTCTACTGCTTTCCCAGGCCACAGCAGAGAGCTGGATCAGAAGTGGAGCAGCCAGGACTAGAACCAATGCCCATATGGGATGCCAGCACTGCAGGTGGCGGCTTTATCCACTATGCCACAGCGCCGGCCCCAAAAGTCTATTTCTTATAAATTCTCACACATGATATACATACTTAATGCAATATAAAATCTATATTTTTGCAAATAATCACAAAGAAAAAAACCTGAAAAGCCATCATTCTCATCAAAGATATGTCCCCCACTAGAGCTGACTCCATTTCCTCATCTGTGCTTCCACTCTACAGTCCATCGCTTTACAGACTTAGTTCCTTTATAAATGTTTACAGGATGAGGAGGAGGAGGATGACCTCTGGACCAAGAATCATCCAGGCAAAAGATGATTTCTCTTATGTATCTTTCCAGGGGTGGAGAATGTTTGGCCTGCGGGCCATTAAATCATTTGATTTGGCCCTGCCAGGGCCATCGCGGGTGGGACTTGAAATTCCATAAATCTAATTTTTAAGTTGTTACTTTTGTATGGCCTGAGAATGGTGTTATAAATATCCAAACAGCCCTTAGCAGAAGACAGGTCCCCTACCCCTGTACTACCTGGTTATTATGACACTTCACAATTTCTTAAGACCCTGTTCAGAAAATAAGTGAGGAAATTAATATTAAAAGAATCCTAAGAATTTGTTAAATCTCAAAAAATATTTCTTTTTAAAAGCAACTTAAACTTCAGTTTACAGAATTACCTACAGATTCATAATATTTACATGATTCCACAATGTAAACTGTTTCTATTGATTCTACATACATGCCTGACTAATACTATTAAGGCACAGTTAAAAGCATATTAAAATATGAAAAAACCATTTCCCCATAAATAAGATTTCTTCTATCCTTGAACTGAATTATTTTGTCACTTGTGGTTACAACAGAATATACCTAGGAAATATACTTTGCATATCATTTTGGCCTTTTGACTTACTGTGCTTATAAAAATATGTCAAAGAAAATTCAAAAAGTTTCAAATACATAAAATAACTGAGTTTTTTTAATTTTTTTAACGTGTACTGCATTGTAAGTACAAATAGATACCTGTTAATAAGAGGAAAAACTAGAAACACTCTGTCTTTCCTATCCTGAGGGTATCTTTAATTGGCCTCCTCTAACAAGGCACATTATATATTATGCATTGCGGTTCCTGGGTTGTTTACAGTAACAGAATAGTTTTCTCTGTGAAAAGACCTCCTGAGAAATCTACCTTGTTTTTCTAAGGTTCCCAGAAGGACGGTAGTCATATGGCATTAGTTAACCATGTATGGGTAGAATATAAATTATTCATGAACATCTGCAGAGTCCAAAGTAAACAGAAATGACATCCACAAACTTAATTTAGACAGAAGAGCTGTTTAATAGGAATATTTATTGAGGCTCTCCCACAAAAACCGTCCATACCAGATCCCATGAAGACTGAAAGGGAGGCATTTACAAGGATGTCTTCTCTGTAAGCAATGCAAAACTCCTGGTAACTTTTCCCCAAAACTTCCATTTTTTGTAATAGTGTCTACTCTATGTTGAAGCATGAAAGGAAATAAATACCATGTGTACAGACTTCAAAGTTATTTTTATGCTTTGAAAATTATCACAAAAATAATTTTAGATGTGAAAATTTAAGACTTAAGTATCTTATAGAAACTTACCCAGATCCATGCTAATAAATGTAAGAAAATAAAGTTTTTTTTAAAAAAATCTTATTTGTAAGCTAAAGAAAAAAGTAAAATTTTGATAACCTAATCAATTCACTTTTCATATTTTTACTTCATAACATGTTGAATACATCACAATCATAAATATTATAGCAATATGACATAAGAAATAAAAATACATTACTTGTATTTTATCATCTAGTTATTTGTTATAAAGAATGTGATTATGAAAGGCTCACCAAAATTTACATCTAATTTTATAATTTCTTTCTTTTTTTTTTTTTTTTTTTTGACAGGCAGAGTGGACAGTGAGAGAAAGAGAGAGACAGAGAGAAAGGTCTTCCTTTGCCGTTGGTTCACCCTCCAATGGCCACTGCGGCCGGCCAGCGCACCACGCTGATCCGAAGGCAGGAACCAGGTGCTTCTCCTGGTCTCCCATGGGGTGCAGGGCCCAAGGACTTGGGCCATCCTCCACTGCACTCCCGGGCCATAGCAGAGAGCTGGCCTGGAAGAGGGGCAACCAGGACTGAATCCGGCACCCCGTCCGGGACTAGAACCTGATGTGCTGGCGCTGCTAGGTGGAGGATTAGCCTGTTGAGCCGCGGCACTGGTCTATAATTTCTTCCTTAAGGTATGCACTTCTGATTTATTACAAAAAAATCAGTAGAAAATTAAGATTCACTTACTAGAAACTACCTTTTCCATATACTATGCCAGGGACATCTACTTCATTAAGCAGAGAGGCAGCTCTTTCAAAAAAGACAATTATTTTTTAAAAGAAATCACATTTTGAAATTTTTTTTGAGAAACTCACCTTGCCCCTTTGGTTCAAGGGTTCAATTGTTAAGCTGTCAGGGCCAATATCCACAATATTGCCCATCTGAAATCCATCGGTAGGGTGTGGTGCCCAAACGGGCTTTCCATCCTCCATTTTTGAAGGGGGCTATCCACTATAGCCTGTTTGAAAGGAACAGATAAATGAACATAAATAACTTTGGAAATACAAATCAAATATCATCTTTGAAAGTTCTCATGTAAATTCTAACAAACAGAAATACATCTGCCCCGACCACAGAGAATCCCCCTGCCCTCCCTCCACCACGCTGCCCTTGCCCCCTTCATTCACCTTCGATAAGGCCAGGCAGAGGCTGCTCTACCCTCAGGTTACACCTGGCTCTGCTACTGTCTTTCTTCAATTGAAATTGCAGTAAAGGACTACACTAGGACCAGGACAGAAACAGAAATGGTCACGGTTTCCACCAGTTGTTCCAGTATAATTTATAATAGCACTCCCTCTTGCTATTCAAAGTATGCTAGCTTGCATAATAAATTAAATAGTAGGAACAGATATAACTATGTGGAGTTAGCTGCTGAAAGCTGAAAATTTGGGGCAGGCACTGTGGCATAGCCAGTAAAGCCGCTGCCTGCAGTGCCGGCATTCCATATAGGCGCCGGTTCAAGTCCTGGCTGCTCCACTTCTGATCCAGCTCTCTGCTATGGCCTGGGAAAACAGTAGAAGATGGCTCAAGTCCTTGCGACCCTGCATCCACATTTGAGACCCAGAAGAAGCTCCTGGTTCCTGGCTTTGGATCGGCTCAGCTCCAGCCATTTAGGGAATGAACCAGCAGATGGAAGATCTCTCTCTCGCCTGCTCTTTCTCTCTCTTACTCAGCCTCTCTGTAACTCTGCTTTTCAAATAAATAAATAAATCTTAAAAAATAAAAGAGTTGGAAAATTAAGTTATTTTGAACCTGAAGGAATAAAAAGAGATCACTTCCTCTGAGAAACCTTGCCCAACACTCTGAGATGCTCCCTATACAATTCTTACAACACTACTCAGAAATTGGGTTTTTGTTCTTTTCTTATTTTCTTCTGCTGAGGTAAAATGTATACACAGTGAAACGTATCAATCTAAGTAAGCAAGTTTATGAATTCAGACAAATGCTATATAGCCATTTAACTTAAACCTCAAATAGTTGTCATCCCAGAAAGTTCTCCCTTGTCTCCATTTGATCAATCCCAATGCTAATGTTCAGTCAAGTTTTACTGTTCTTTCTTTAATCTTTTTAAATATTTTATTAATTAAATATTAAATTAATATTAAACTACAGAGAGTAACTTAATATTAAGTTACAGAGAGACAGAGGCAGAGGTAGAGAGAGAGAAAGAGAGAGAGAGAGGTCTTCCATCTGCTGGTTCACTCCCCAGATGGCTGCAAAGGCCAGAGCAGAGCTGATCCAAAGCCAGGAGCCAGGAGCCAGGAGCTTCCTCTGGGTCTCCCACATAGGTGCAGGTACCCAAGGACTTGGGGCATCCTTTGCTGCTTTCCCAGGAACATTAGCAGGGAGCTAGATTGGAAGTGGAGCAGCCAGAACTCTCACCAGCACCCATATGGGATGCAGGTGCTGCAGGCTTAACCCACTGTGCTGCAGTACCAGCACTTTATATGTTCTTGAACTTCATATAAATGATATAATGCAGACTTATTCATTCCTGTCTGGCTTCTTTTGAATGAAAGAAGTGTTTCGATTTTCAAAATATTCAACCAAGTTATTGTCTGTGCTAGTATAGTGGATGACTATACCACAATTGCTTCTCAGTTGTCCTGTTGATGCATATTTGGACAGCTTCCAGTTTTTGCCGATTGTGAATTCCAATATAATTTTCAAGAGTTTATATAAGGCTTCTTTCATATTTGGCATTCTTAGCTGTAACATTTACAATTCTATCAACAGTAGCCCAAAGGTTCCATGACATTCAAAATACTTCACTTTTGGGGCCGGCGCTGTGGCACAGCAAGTTAAAGCCCCGGAAGAAGCTCCTGGTTCCTGGCTCCAGATCAGCTCAGCTCAGGCAGTTGTGTTCATTTGAGGAGTGAACCTGTCTCTCTCTGATTCTACCTCTCTCTGTAACTATAAAATAAATCTTTAAAAAACATACTTCATTTTAATGAGCCTGAATACTATAAAAGGAATGGATAACAGTGATCAGCTAATAAGTAATAGCAGATATTCCAGTTCCAGGATCTCAACAGAAACTGACTTTTTTCACTGCTTAAAGAACTGCTTCCTGTGTCATGATGCTGCTTTTAGTGGAGGTCTCAAATTTGGGATCCCTAGTATGGGCGCCCACAGGTGCAGTCCCTCCTGAAAGTTATGGATGTTTGGCATACAGACCAGCCAAAAAGATGCTAATCACTGGCACATTTAAAATGTGCCAATTGGTCTATGTCTTCTTGGTAGTGGCTACAAAGTGGGTTGCTTCTCATATCCAGTAAATCCTAGCAGGCTTATGTATAATTCTGAGTGAAAAAAATTAGATAAAGATTCTTCATAAAAGTGAATCCAAAACACTGTCTCAGATTTACATGCACACTTCTACTCTTTCCCTAGATAATCAAATCTGGTTCAGTTGCTTTAAACACTATTTATATGTGAGTGATTTCCAAATTTATTTCTCCAGCCAAGACATCCATTGAGTACCCAGATATCTACTTTCCTCCTAGACAACTCTTCATGGATTCAGCCAATATGTGCAACATTATTATTACGGTGCACCATCCCAGACTGCTGTCTCCATATCAGTAAAGACACAAACAATACTTAGTTCCAATCAAACCTGGAGTCACCCTCAATTCTTCCAGCTCCTTTCAATTTCATAGCACCCCTTAATCTGTCAGCTTTATCTCAACAGGCACCTCAAATCCACCCACTTCTTGGCATCTCCCCTGCCACCTTAACCCAAACCAACATTGCCTTACACTAGGATTTCTATAATTAACTTAAATGCCTGTTCTACGCTTGCTGCTCCACACAGATCACCAGCAATCTTAGTGAATGATAAGTCTGACCAGGTCATTCCCATTCCTTCAGGGAAGACGATCCCGTAGGACACAACACCCCACCAACAACAACATTTACTGGTGGTAAATGAATGAACTGTTTACCTAGTTTGTGAAGAGTTAAAGGAGATAGTAAACTAGAGGGAGTTGGAAGGCTGTAAAACCTACGCTTCCAATTCAGTTCTACCACTTTCATACTACCTCTTAAGCAAGTTACTTAACCTCTTTGATCTTTATCTTTATCCTTATCCATATGGTGGGATAATATCACTTACCTTACAGAATTGCTGTGAGGATTAAATGACATAAAGCTGAGATCATCACTGTGCGGCACCCAACAGACACTAGTCACACAACTCCCCGTCCCCTCCTCCCATAGCCCTTGTTTGAAACCACCAATTTCAAGACAATGATCTTGTGGCAGTTCAGCAAAAGCAAAACCCTCAACATCAAAAAAAAGAATGGCAAATTCCCTTAACTATTCAAATTGTTTTTCCTTATTTTTATGGTTTGTTTATTTATCTGAAAGAGGGAAAGAGATTAATCATCCATCTGCTGGTTCACTCCTCCATTTTGCTGCCAAGGCTACAGGTTATTTTCTGGAAAAGACAGAGATCTCTGGAGTGAAAAACTCTAGGAAAAAGCAAGGGTATGCATACAAAAACTGCTGCATGCTGACATCTCTCTCTGACCAACTAGCTAGGCTCCTCCACCACTTGATAAGGGGGTGATTTTTTTTTTTTCTTTTTTTGTTCTTTGACAGGCAGAGTGGACAGTGAGAGAGAGAGACAGAGAGAAAGGTTCTTCCTTTTGCCGTTGGTTCACCCTCCAATGGCCCCCGCGGGCGGCCCGCTGCGGCCGGCGCACCGCGCTGATCCGATGGCAGGAGCCAGGAGCCTGGTGCTTTTCCTGGTCTCCCATGGGGTGCAGGGCCCAAGCACCTGGGCCATCCTCCACTGCACTCCCGGGCCACAGCAGAGAGCTGGCCTGGAAGAGGGGCAACCGGGACAGAATCCGGCGCCCCAACCGGGACTAGAACCCGGTGTGCCAGCGCCGCTAGGCGGAGGATTAGCCTAGTGAGCCGCGGCGCCGGCACTTGATAAGGTTTTGACCTTGGCCTCTGTCTCTATCCCTACCAGGCTAGCAAGAATCCTGTAAAGTCAGTTTAGGAAGAATTCCCCACCTTTGATATTTGATTAAGTTCCTTCTCCCTCATCATTTTTGATGTGTAAGTCCTTAGCCTGCCTCAAGCAAGAAGCTGATACCAAGAACCATCACACTCCTCATGCCTTCTCTGAAGAATTTCCCACCCTCACTCCCTCACTCTGTTCCTAAGTGACAAATACCCAGCTGACTTCACTATTTTCAGATTTCAGGCCTTCACTGTCCCCTACTGCAATAGTCCTTGTTAGGAACTGAATGCTATATGTCTGCATGGACTAAACCATGTTGTCCCCAGATTCACATGTTAAAGCCTTAAACACTTCAAGTGACCATACATGGAAATACGGCATTCAAAAGATAACTCAAGGCAAATAAGGTCATATGTATAGGGTTCTAATCAGATAGGACCGGTGGCTTTGGCACAAGAGGAAGATAGAGAAATCTCTATCTCCATGGACATGCCCTGAGGAAAGGCCACTTTAGCACAGCTGTCTGCAAGCCAGAAAGACCGCTCTTATCAGAAAGCAATCCTGCTGACATACAGCTCTCATATTTCTAGGATCCAGAACTCTGAGAAAATACGTTTCAGTTGTTTATGCCACTCAGTTTGTGGTATTTTGTTAAGACAGCTCCAGCAGACTAGTATACTTCTAGCAGAGAAATAAAAGTACATGCCTATTTCGATTGTCATGGATAAAGACTTCCTTCCTGTTTTTAACAAAAGTCAGAATAATTTTTAACAAGACAATAGAAGTGAATTACTCACTGGAATGTATGGAAGATAAAGTTAAGGAAACCTTTCAGAGAGCCTAGAAAGAAAGGTATAGAAAGTAGGGAGGGAAAAGTTATGAAAATGAAAGACCAGTACTGTGGCACAGCAGGTTAAGCTACCACTTGCCATGTCAACGTCCCATATCAGAGCACCAGCTGGAGTCCTAACTGTTTCACTTCC